GAGTTTTCCAGTCAAATACCCCTGCTTTCCGAGGCCTGAAGCATGGACCTCCATCATCTTCGACCACACTTTCCAGTTTGTGTCATTCAATCTGTATCCAAACGAAATGCCGCTGATGTTGGTAGACTCATTCAGAATGGACACGGATTGGATGGTAACCAACTCACCAGTTTTTCTTTCTTCAGTCATCGAACCAAATTGGTTTTTAATTTAATAAGGTTGAATTTGATGCAGCCTTGATGATCACAACACCACAGAGATTTTGGATTCCTGGGTTCAAATTTTAAGAACACCAACAGTTGTTTCTGATGCAACCTTGGTTGCGGTTTGCACGTTTGCCTGGTTTTAGGGTTTGGTTTGGGAAGAGACAAGCCCTACTCTGATGCCAATATAAAAGTCTATGTGTTTAGGGATTAATCGTTCTGTTATTCCTCTCTCTAGGAGGCATATATATAATTGTACAAGAGGTCCTTTACTTTTAGGAAATAAGAATCCCAAGTACACAATGAATCAATCATGTGATCCTATTCTGATTACATTCCTAAAACATATAGTTGACTCACGCCAACACATACAATAATTTAGTTGATCAACTGTCAATTCTAACAAGGGCACTGCTATTTACACACCTTATTTTTCCTTTCACACATTTTTTTTACTTTTCGGGCGTAAGAGTGAATGAATTGAAGAATATCAAAAGACATAAATTAATAAGAGGTGTATGAAAAATAAAAGAAAAATGTGTGTGGATAACATCACCCTTCTGAAAAATAAAAGAAAAATGTGTGTGGATAACATCACCCTTCTGACAATATATAAGGGATATCCAAGATTTCAAACAAACCCCTTTTAACTCCATGATTCACCTTTGATAAAATGTTTAAGGGACGGAGACGCCAGAATAAGTCACGAGTGCATGCACGACTGATAAGGAATCAACTCACATACGTTTGCGCGAAAGGTCCTAATATTTCCCTTCAATTTTTAGTGCCTTTGTTTTGAATTTGCTAGGTTACATTTGTGAAACACCTCAACAAAGCCTAATGATAAATGGCCGCTCGCTCCTTATCCGGCCCATTTTTGCAATCCTGGGCTATGAGTCGTGACACTTTCCTCTCCTAAAACCCAAGTGGAGATTTTGGATAAGGAAATCAAACTCTTTTGACCAAAAAATAATCTAGTGCAAAATGACTGATTGATTAAACGGCACTCATTCTCCATTTTATTAAAAAATACTTTGAATTCAAATTTCATGAACGATACTTATTAATAAAACGTAAAAAATCTAATGTACCATGAATATGTGTAATGTTTCATTAAAAAGAGTAAATACCATGTCACAAATATGCGTATAAAAGTTGGCATCTTCATAGAAGAGTAAGTCAGAGCAAAATTGGGAGAGGTCTTGGGCTATGACAACTGTAATGTACATGGTCTCAAATTGTTTTGCATATTGAATATTGCGGGCCTTGGTTGGCCCAAGTGCTAGATTTAAGGCCAACAATACTGTTATATTAAGTTTACCAATGTAACTGTTTTGATTTTTGTTTTGTTTATTTTTTTGCGTTTGGGTTTATGGTAGAGAGATTCTTTGTACATGACGTCATGTCTTTCCTAAAGACAGCATGCATGGGCAGTAGGAATTGAGTAAACCTCACTTTTACTTAGTTTATCATCAACTATGCTCTCATTTATTGACATGTTTTATTATTTGAGGTATATAATGGTCATTTAAAGCTTCAATTTAAGGTTTTAAGTAATTAGCCACTTAGTATTACGGTTTAGTATTATTTCTCTTTATATGTAAGTGAGATATCTTATATTCGATTCTCGTTAAAGACGAATTCGAACCAAATTATTATCGCAAGTCCATTGTAAGTATTCATTTATCCATTAGTATAGATAATATCGAATGTATTATAAATAAAGTCAAATTAATGCCCAAACTTTGAGACATAAAAGCTATAATTGAAGGGATTCACGAATCCAAGACTTAAAAAACCTAAAGTCTAAGACCAAAATGATTTGAGATTTTTCAGTTTGTTGGAATACGAGGCAGGATACCATATGTTATTATACAAGTGAGGGGGATTTCTTTATATAAATGTTTCTCTATTTGTATATGACATATAACGTATGAGCCTGTGTTCCGAGCACATTAAAAAAATCTCAGCAAAATGACGATTATATACCGTGATACAATTAACCATAACAGTAATTGAGATTAAAGTTGAAGAAAAGTAGGGAGTAATATTTTCTCAGTGCCTTCTGTTTATTTCTTGCACATAGACAATTGCTATGGTTTAGCTTTTAAACTTTACATAAAAAGTAATTAACCGCCAGCTGAGAACAAATGAATTTTTTTAACATAAAAACAAATTGGTTTTTTTAAAGAACCAAATTATTCTTTCAAATTCCTAACTCATATTTACGTAATTTCTCATATTATTTTTACTTATTCACATTTTCTCATTCACTTCACTTTAGTGTTCGTTATCAACCTACATGTGTCATCATTTGCCAAAAAACTTGAGCTAAACTCTTTCAACATATTTAATATAAAGTTCGATTGAAAATTTTCTTTCAGGACAAAAATACAATATCATAAAAACGGAAGAACTATTGAAGTTGTGCGAAACTGTCACAACCTGGCTCCAAGTTCCTTATAGCTCAAGTTTTGTATTAAAAATCGGCAAATTGAAAGTATATATAGAACGGTTTTCCAATCACAGATTATGTTCCACGCCTTTTCCCAAGTCAACTTATTCCAAAGATATTTCACCTTACCTTTTGAGGATTATATTATATACTTACAAATAGATAGCCAGAAGAACTGATTACATATTATTTTCCAACGTGCAAGCATTCTGATCTTTCTCCGACGGAATCTGTCAAACTTTTCCAATTAAATCCGGAGAGTTCGATATGTTCCTTGTAACTTAGCAATTTGGAATCTATAGACAAGCAGGTATCCCATTTTGAGTATAAAAGTGTTATTTTCCTTTTTTATTGAAAGAGACATTGAGAAATGTAGCTAGGTTTAGGTCTACCTATTAATTTGTTCGTTAACAAATTTTTATTTATTTTACGTAGTTGGGAGTTCTAAATTTAGATATTTTTTTACCACATTAGAATATTATATAAAGTGACAAATGATGCATACAATTAATATTCAATGAGATAAATTCATTAATTGGCACGACAAGTGCACATCACTTGACAGATCACACATTAATGGTGGACAGGGAGAGGCTGACATACCTCTATAAGTCTTCCCGACCCTTAAAATAGTGGACTGTTGTGGCTTCGTCACTAGATGATCTCATTCTTTTTTTGAAAAAGACACATTTTGTAGTATAAAAAATAAAAAATAAAGACACATCATATGGTACTAATGTGGTACAAAAATGTAATATCCCTACCATTTTCCATTAATTAATCAAAAAATGTTAAAGAGACTATCTTTTTAAACTACATTTTGTCGCAATAAAGTAAGACTTCATGATTTAAAGAATTTAAATAAATAAATAAATAAGACCAACCATCAACACTCATATCATGTACTTTACAAAACGTGGTTTAAATAATAGTTTCTCATAGCAAGTAAATCTGTGAGTAACCTTCTAACTTTTGAAAAAGAACCAACTCTTTATCAAGGGTTGAAGTCAGATATGGTTGCTTTCTTAGGGTTTTTATTTTCATCTTCCTATAGGTGAACGAAGCTTCAATTTATTTTTTTGGCCAGAACTTGTGTTGTGCCATTGTTCTTCTCTTCATAATTGATGACGTTGTCTCTGGTCCAAGTGATTTTCGGCGGATCGTGATCTAGCTTGCTTGTTCGAGGTGAAGGTACATGGTTACGGTGTTTCGTCCTTAAGTTTTGGCATGCCTCACGGTAGCAAGTGGTGTTCTTACTATGCTTGTGGTTTTTTCCTTATAATAATTTCAAAAACGTAGATTTAGTTGTCTGTGTTATATAATTTTGTTTTGATCGAGTATGAGTTCTTAAGTGTGCTCTCAGTATAAATTTGTTATGTTATGCCGATTTGCAACTGTATTTATAGCCATTATCATATTGGTAGCTGAATAAGAAGGTTTTATTTCTCTCTCTAAATCATACCAGCTCTTATGTTGAAATTGGTCGCTAAAACTATTTAAACATATTTGACATCGAATCTATAATCTTTGATTTTCAATAATATTATATTGTTTCTCTATTTTTATGGTCGATGTATTGTTTCTTCAAAAGAGAAAAAATAAACACACTTATCTAGGCTTGTAACGGTCTGATCCTAGAGAGCTTGGAGTTTGGAGTATTCTGTCGAGTATTCTTTATTCACATAAAGCTCTTTCATCGCGTGATAACGAGAGAAATAAACATAACCAAATATATGTTTCTTAACTAAATCGGCAATATTTTTCTCATCACTTTTAAGTGATGGTGATGCTCATCATTTTATTTATTAATGTAAGATGAGTTTAAATTTCGAAATCTGTGTAGTAAATAGATACAAATATCAAAATTTAAACTCATTCAATAATAATAAGTATGATGGTGAGCAGTATCACTACTTGAGGTTTGTGAGTAAAAATGGATCCAACTTAAAAAGAACTCAATTATACACATTTGGTTCACAAAGTTAATCTTATTAGGGTTTTAAGCCAAAATGGTCTCTAAGATTGGTATAACTTATCACTTTGGTTCTTGATATTTAAAATCTATTGAACTGGTTTCTGAGTTTGTGCACCATCAATTATTTTAATCATTCCATAAAAAAATTTCATTAAATAAGAATAAAATGATACAAATATCCTTAATTTTGTTAAATATTTTTTATCGTTTATTAAGCTAGGAGTATTTTTATCATTTAGTCCTAATTTAACAAAGATTTCTTTAGAAAAGAACCAAAATGATTGACGGTGGACAAACTCAAACATAACTTTTGTTGATTCTAAATCTTAAGAAGCAAAATAAAGAATTATATCAATTTCTTTAACCATTTTAACTGAAATGCCCTTCTTATTATTTTTCTACCTTAATTGAAAATTACGATATGCTAAAACTAGCCTTGTCCATCACATGTAGGTTATGTACATAGACCAAATTTTATCTGTATTTATATTACATACAAAAGAAAAACAAAAATTGGAATATATAGCTGGTTGTAGTCAACAAGTCATTGACTTGAAACTTCATCCAGAAGCTTGTATCTTCTGACCTTGTTCCTGAAGACTTGCCTTGTGATCCCAATAGTACTAGTGTTGTTTGTGTTTGATATGTCCTCTGACCTTGTCCTCTTGATCCTCTCAGCCTCCTTTTCCCCTTTTGTGATGATCCTCTTTCTGGTAACAACTGGTGCAGATTTTGGAGATGGTGAAGGTGATGGAGATACTGCTGATGAATGACGAGGAAGATGATGAAGATCAAGTGATCTCTGTTTCTTGATGGGCCCACTAGGTTGCAGCTGCATAGTGCCCCTCAGACACCCACCAAATGAATTATTACTATTTTTTGATGGATTATTCTTTTTCTTAGTGATCTTGGTAATTGGATGGTCTTGATCTTGGGTTTCCTTTTTGCATGAAGAGGAAGAATTTGAGGAGTTTTGGGACTTCTCCTTTGTGTCCTCCTTCTGGGTGAGGCACCAATTGCAGATTCTGTAGGACTCAGCGTTTGGGTAAAGATTGCTGCAGTACCTGCACATATGGAATTTTGATTAGGTCATAACCCAGAAATTGAAGGATGAAATTGAATATGTGTATCTAATGAAAAATATAAAAAGAGTAGATGGTTTTGTTGAATTGGGGACCTGTGCTGAGATCTGAATTGGCAAACCTTGCAAAGGAAGAGCTCATAGGAGAAGCCAAAATCCCCACACATGCAGCACTCACGGCTGCCTGCTGCTTCCACTTGGACTACTGATGGTGTGGTAGTGGTGTTTCCTTTGCTGCTTGTTGTCATATTGTTGTTGTTGCAGAGGAGGGAGGGGGAGAGAGAGAGAGAGAGAGAGAAGGGGATGAGGGATTTTTTTTTTTTTTTTGGGTTGGCCGACGGCCACACAACAAAAAGCCACAAGACGTGTAGAGTGTTTTATTGTGATATATAATTAAATAAAATATACACATCATTTTCATTTTGCTATGGCCGTGTGTAAAACGTATTAGAAAGATGATTTCCACGCGCCTCTCACGCTCTTTTTTGGTACGGCAATGAAGAAAAATAAAAATGTTTATGTTGCAGTCATATCGGATTAAGAATGTGATTGTGTAAATCTTAATATATCTAAAAGTATATTGTAATTAATAGAAGCAATCCTATAAGGGTAAGGATTCTACCATTCCTACTACTATAAATAAAGATATAAGGGGGGTGATACAACATACACCTCAGAATTAAATCTCTCTTTCTCTCTTGTTGCCGCTAGCCCCCTCTCTCTTTATGCCTTAGCTCACTCAGTTAATTAGGCCTACAACACGTTATCAGCACGCTCTTACCAGAAGCTGAGGAATTGACGCATTGTAGGAGGAGACTATCTTCTACAAATTCATAGGTTTTCAATCGTTTTCTGCCAATCAGGTTCTTCTAAAATAAATTAAAATATTTGAAAAAACCTTGAAGTATGAAAACATTCTCCATGATGCATGAATCCCCTATATTTATATTTATATTTTCCTGCCAATTATATATATCGTATATATGTTCATATATTTTGTCAATGTATATAATTGTTCATGCATTACACATATATGCTATGCGAAATTGTGAGTCAAAAAATCGAAATTAATTTAGAAGCACTTAGGGTTTTCAACCCTAGAATTCGAAAAAACAAAAAATAAAAAAATAAAAAGGAAAATTTTGGGTTTTTTTTTGTGGCACCGCCGCACCACCACAAGGACCACCGCCCTGGCTTGAAGCCCAACCGCGGGATAGACCCCCTCAAGACGACGTCGTTCAACGTCTTGGACCTTTGCCGAAGCCTTTGGGCTTCGTTGCATACTGTTGACACCAGGTCGTAAGCCTAGTTTGGTTTCGCACCACGGGCTTGAAGCCCCAACCCGAGCCAGTGCAAGCTGGGGTGGTCCCTCGTCTCGGCCCACACCAACAGTTGTGTTGTTAGGCTTAGCCACGGCCCACATTCCAATCAACCAACCCACGAGGCTGGCCCTTGCGGCCCAAAATTGAAACCCAGCCTCGGCTGGGGTTTCCTCACCAAACTCGTAAGCGAGCTTTTGGGCTGGGCTTGTTCCCGTGCTGGTCTTGGTCCAAATGTCAAGAGCTTTGCTACTGGGCTTTTTTTTTCCTCAACCTGTGGGCTACTCCTGTAGCTAACCCTAGCCCAAAATGCCTATAAGGCCGTGCCCTACTCACAGCACCCATGCCTACCTTGTTTGGGCTCCGGATTTTCGAATCCAATGCTATTTTTTGGCATTCCAAATAATTTTAACCCAAATGTTATCAATATTTTTTCTTCTACGATCGACCCCGAATGGTCTCAATCTATTAAACTAATTAAAGTGACCAGCAGTCCACTAATATGACAATTAATCCAAAATTATTGGCCTAAAGCTCACTTTTTGGCATTAACGATTCAATAAATTATTTCGTCTCTTTGAACCATTGACTCTCTTTCGTAGTCCCGAAGCACTCACACTTGGGTTCCTGAAGCAATCCATAAATCCACTATACTTTATTTTATATTGTATTCTATGTTCTTGCAGGTACCCCTGTATATGAACTAAACGTTCATAACTAAACCGACCATATAGTTTCGAATTTAGTGCATTTGAAACCCGAACTTTTCATTCAAAACTTACCACATGAAACATGTAGCTTTCATGCATAAATTAAACCAATACATGTCTATAGAACCTGAATGTTCTACAATGTATGTCTATGGTTTTCCATATAACTAACCACGTTTTGTTGTACCCTCTGTTTAGGGACATGTCGAACTTGAACAAGCTCGATTTCACCGCTCTGGAAGTCTCCGAAAGAAACTACCTGAAGTGGGTTCAAGACGTGAAGCTCCACCCCACTGCAAAGAGTCTTAGAGCTACCATCGAGGAACCAATCGATGATGCACTTGTCGACGAAGCTCAGAAAGTTACTGCTATGATCTTCATTCGAAGACACATCCATAATGCACTGTAGACAGAGTACCTCGCAGATGAGGATCCCCGTACCCTCTAGCTCGCTCTGGCGGATCGTTTTGATCACCAGAAAGACATCTTCTTGCCTAAAGTAAGACACAACTGGCAACATTTATGCTTCCAAGACTTTAAGTCTATGAATGAATACAACTCTGAAGTTTGTAGAATCCGATCACTACTTAAGTTCTGTAACAAGGACTTAACGAACAGGATCTTCTGGAGAAAACCTATTCGACCTTAAATGCCACTAATATTGTCCTGCATCAACAATATAAGGCATAGAAGTTCACAAAATTTTCGAATTTGATATATGTTCTACTTCTTGCTGAAAAGCAAAACTAGCTTTTGATGAAGAATCATCAAGCTCAACCTACTGACTCGAACACTGCGCCTGAAACGCACGCGACAACTTCGAACAGTCACAACCGACAGAGATCTCATCGTGGCCATGGGAAAGGGCGGCAAGCCCCATCACAGGCCCAAGGTCCACCGAACAAAGGCCTATCCAAGGGAGGAAACTTGACCCATAAGTGCCAACCCCTTGCCTCGAAAGCCCCAAACTTCAAGAACAAGGGAAAAGCTACCGTTCAATCGGATTCCACTGAACTAGACATGTGCTACCGCTGTGAATCAAGGAATAATTGGTCACGCGTATGCCGAGCTACCCCCGAGGCTATTACCAAGTATCATTCCCATTGTGAGTCCAACTTTGAGCATGTAGAAATCCTCGAAGCGGCTACTACATCTCTGGAGGTTTCAGATTTTCAGGAGACATTCTCTCCTATGGAAGAATAAATTTAGACATGTTTTTTAGGGCGTTTAATCCCTAGTGGCCGAACCCCTCCCCCCTTTAATTTCTAGGTTTATCGTTTAATTTTGAACAATTTTTCTATGTCCTTGGAATTATTTGTTTGATTTAGTTTGTTTTGAACTTTGGATATTATTTCTTGAATTGATTAATTAAATGAATGGAATTATATTTACAACTCAATTAATTTATTTCCAGGTATGATTAGTGGGGAAGTTAGTTATATGGCTGATTGTGCAACCAAGCACACTTATATGGCTGATTGTGCAACCAAGCACACCATATTATTGAGAAACACTACTTTACTAACTTCGTACCTAAGAATGCACATCTGACAACCCTCTCAGGCCCATCCAACATGATAGAAAGATACGACAAGGCCCGTATAAAGTTGTCCAATTGTATTGAATTAACTATTAAAGATGCACTCTATTCTTCACGTTCTGGAAGAAAGTTGCTGAGTTTTAGAGACATTCGAGATAATCAATATCATGTGGAAACCACTGAAGAGAATGGTTCTGAATTTCTTTATATCACTTCTTACAAATATGGCCGAAAGCGTATTCATGAGAAGCTGGAACGTCTCCTGAGTGGGTTGTACATAACAACCATTCGAGCCGTAGAGATACACCATGTGGCCAGCCCTAATGCTGGGTTTCAGGACAATGTACTGCTTTGGCATGATCGAATGAGACACCCCGGACAAGATATGATGCACCATATCCTCAAAGCATCTCATAGGCACATCTGACAGCCCTCTCAGGCCCATCCAACATGATAGAATGATACGACAAGGCCCGTATAAAGTTGTCCAATTGTATTGAATTAACTATTAAAGATGCACTCTATTCTTCACGTTCTGGAAGAAAGTTGCTGAGTTTTAGAGACATTCGAGATAATCAATATCATGTGGAAACCACTGAAGAGAATGGTTCTGAATTTCTTTATATCACTTCTTACAAATATGGCCGAAAGCGTATTCATGAGAAGCTGGAACGTCTCCTGAGTGGGTTGTACATAACAACCATTCGAGCCGTAGAGATACACCATGTGGCCAGCCCTAATGCTGGGTTTCAGGACAATGTACTGCTTTGGCATGATCGAATGAGACACCCCGGACAAGATATGATGCACCATATCCTCAAAGCATCTCATAGGCATCACTTGAAATCTTATCCCGACAATCCGTTTTTGCAAAGCATATTCCTTGGGGAAATTTAACATGCAACCCTCAATTACAAAGATTATTCACGACCTCCCTAAGTTTCTTCTGAAGATTCAAGGCAATATTTGTGGACCTATCCAACCAACGTGTTTTTAGATACTTCATGGCGTTGGTTGATGCATCGACACAATGGTCACATGTCTACTTATTGTCCACACGCAATGCTACATTTGTGAAACTACTAGCACAAATTATTAAGCTTAGGGCTCACCACCCTGATTATCCAATCAAGTCAATTCAACTGGATAATGCTGGAGAGTTTACGTTACAGACTTTTGATGATTATTGCATGTCTGTTGGGATTGAAGTTAAACATCATGTACCCCATGTTCACAGCCAAAACGACCTGGCAAAAGCTTTCATAAAGCGCCTTCAAAAGATAGCTCGAACTTTCATTATGAGAACCAATTTGCCGATATCTGCCTAGGGTCATGCAATATTGCACACAGCTATGTTGGTCTGCCTAAGGCCCACCGGTACCTAACTTCATTTACCGTTACAGTTGGTTACTGGATACGAGCCTGACGTTTTGCATTTATGTGTATTTGGGTGTGCAGTCTATGTGCCAATAGCACCGCCACTACATACCAAAATTGGTCCTCAGAGAAAAATCTATGTCGGTTATGATTCACCATCGATTATACACTACTTAGAACCATTGACAGGAGATCTATTTACCGCACATTTTACATATTATCACTTCGACAGACGGTCTTCCCGTCATTAGAGGGAGATAAGATCCTTAACGTTCCTGTAAAACGTCGTGAATTGTCATGGATTACTCCCACTATGTCTCATTTAGATCCCTGCACTCCTCAATTTGAAACTAAAGTACGACACATTCTAGATCTTCAGAGCATGCTTAAAGCATGCCGA